GGTGCTATCAGAGGAGTCTGAAAAATGTTTCCAAGAATGGAATCGCAGATTTGACGAATGTATTAAGTGTCATGAAGAGTACTTTGAAGGTGATGAGGTTGTTTTGTAAAAATATTTTAATACATAGCTTTGAAAAAAAAAATTTTTGGCGGGGTACACCCTCTTGTATTTCTCTCTAGGTGCTATCTTAACTACATTTCACACATTTAAGAAAAAATCACTTTTTATTGTGATTAGGGTGAAAGTTTACTGAGCAAATTCATGTTCCACTCAACTGTTTGTATACAATTTGCTTTGTGATGTTGATTGCAGTCCCTACAATACAACAGCACTCTTCCCACTTCCTCGCTGTGCATCCCTGTCTCTGTTCATCCGTCTTTCCTATTCCTTCCTGCATTCTGTGCTTTCTCCCTGGGCACATACTGCCCCTTTGATCTCCTATGGTTGTGCGTTTTAATGAATGTGTTATTACCTAATCAGCCTTATCAACCAGCCTATTGCTCGGCTGAAAGTTGACCTGGCGGGTGAGGGGGAGTTCAGTTTTAGGCTCAATCAAAAGGTGTGAATGAGGGCCATAACCTTGGGAGTTCCACCAGTCTCTATCAGACCCACAAGCCTCGTCTTTTTTTATGGCTCCTGTAGCCATAGCCCTTCTCACTCTCACCAAAGGACCCTCACTTTCCTGCTGAGTCGAGGTAAGAAGGTGCAGGGAGCTACTGAGTGTATCCTGTGACTCAGCTGTGAGTGATCGCCACCCTGCTGGCTCTAAAGCGAGCCATCTCAGAATCAGTAAGGCGGGAGCTCATCACCAACCACAGCTAGGAGTGGAGCCTGTCCTGGGGACCCCAATATCCCTACACAATGAAGCTCTTAGATCCAGGAGATAGCTTTGACGCCAGGAGAATGGCAGAGGGACAGTAGAAACAACATGAGACAGAGCAGTGGGCTTCCCAGCCCACTAAGCAAGGAAAGCTGAGTGCTTATCTTGTGGAGCAGGGGTGCTTCTGGGCAGGTAGTTGGGGGAGCTGGGTGTGCTGACCTAGGGAGCTGGGGCTGTGTGCCAGAGGCTTAGAGCAGAGTGGCATGCCTTTAGGACATTTATTAGCAGTCCCCAAAGAACGTTGCCTGTAACAGTGGCCGAGGCCCGGCCAAAGGCTGAAAGCCAGTGAGAGAGAGGCTTTCCTGCAGGCACTGCAGAGAAGAGACTGTCCTGCCTGAACAGCTGCATCCCAAGCATTTCTCGCATGAAATGTAATCTGTTAACTTCCTGAATAAACCCCTTGATCAGGACTATTGTCTGTGAATTCTCTGTGGTCATTGCAGTTAATTAAGAACCTAGCTGAAAAAAGTAGACGTCTGTGTGAGACACAGCAATGGGAATCAGGAGTGTGGGATTTGTTGCAGTGCCTCCAGATGGACTAGAATCACAGGACTTTGTAAAAGAATGAATGAGGGTAATGAGAAGTGAAACTTTTATATTCTTAAACGGTTACCTTCATTCTTGTTATTTTGTAATTGCTGCAAGAATGTAACAAATTATATGCTGCAGCTGAGGGAGAAGGGCTGCTTCGGGAGGGCCCTGGGGCACAGGCCAGGCTGGGTAGGCGATAGATAATTAATTGATAGGAGCCCAGGACCTATTGGAGCCACCCAGCCAGAGGCCCACGGCTATATGCACATTAATGGAGACAGTCCAGAGTGGAAAAGAGAATGTTACATTGGGGTATTATTAAAAGGATTGAATGTTTATTTGACTGCACTGTGGATATTGAATATTTCTCTTACCTTGTATTGTAAAATAGGAAATCAATCATGATTACAGAGAGCTTAGAAACCCACTTTGATCCTGCACTTGCTTGGCTGTGCTCCAGGGGGAGTTAGTCATTGCTTGGAAGAAATGGATCTTTGTTTGAAGACCAGTGGTAGAGTAAGGGACCTGATATTGAGAGGGCATCTGCATTTGAAAAGACCTACAGGGAAAAAATGACTGTGTGTTAGAACGCGGGTTGACTAGAGAAACAAATTCATGGACACTCATATATTGTACGAGAGAACTTCATATCAAGAAGTAATTAATTATGCATCAATAAAAGCCAGGTCTAGCTCAAGTTCTTAAGTTCGACATTAGCCCATAAGTTCGATATTAGCCCACGAATTCCTCTTCTGACTCACACATGCAGTGATCGGCCTGAACTGTAACTTGCTAACTTCCTGAATAAACCCCTTGATCATGACTTGTCGGTGAGTTCCGTGTGGTCATGGCACTGAATTAGACAACCTTGCTGGAAAAGGAGAGTGCTGTGGGAGACAGAGCCTGTCCCTTTCAGAGGCAGCCATCAATGGGGACTGGGTAGTCCTTCTGGTCTCAGGGTCATGGGGGTCTTGTGTGATCTGTTCATCCTTTGGATTTATTATTTCTTTGCTTCAGATGCAAAGAGACCATTAGTTGCACCTTACATGGCCACTGAAAAGATGTTAAGACTCCAGTCAGTACTCACAGAAGTAGAACGTTGTCTTTGTGGACTATGTGATGCCAGTTGACCTTGATGCTCCCAAGACTCGTTTCCTCGCGATATTTGACTGTGGCTGAGAGTTCTTACAACGTTTCCCCCTGGATGCTTTACTATATTCAGGGATATATTTGCAGGACATGCAAAAAAATGTCGGATTATCTTCTGTCAAGCCTATCTACATGTATATGTGTGTTGCCCCCCACCCCCCGTTTCACATGCATGTCTCTTTTATATCTGTTCATCGATTATTATTACTGTGATTGCAGGGCCACATATTCTGATATGTTGTATAGGACAGGGGTAGAACTGGCCCTGTGGGTTTCCTGGACTCTCTTGGGACTGATGGTGGTTTTGAACTGCTGACCTTGGTGTGAGCAGTCCACCACATCATCCACTATTGCCACCAGAACTACTCAGTAAATCACAATAAAGTCAAGTTGGTTGTCTCGTTCAACTGATTTTCTGTTTACTTGTTGTGTAATTACTGAAAGAGGAGGGTTGAAATCTCCTATTTCCTTACCGTTATTTCCCTTTTTGCTTCCTATGCTTGAAGCTCTGTTACTTGGGGCGTACACATTTAGAATTGTTATGCTTTCTGATAAGTAGACTCAATTATTATGAAATGTTCTTCCTCCCTGGTGATAGTCCTTGTTCTGAATGCGACTTTTCCCAAAATTATGATAGTCCACCATTCATGTAATTATTGTTTGCATGGTATGCTTTTAAAACTTCTAGCCTACTTGAACTCTAAAGGCTGCCTTTTAAGTGGAGTGTTTAGAGTATATTTGCATTATGTGATTATTGATACAGTTTGTTTAGATCTAACATCTTGCTGTTTGTTCATCTGGTTCCTTGGGGTTTTTTTTGTTTTTGTCTTTCCTCTTTTACTGTGTTGAGTTATTTGAGGTTTCTTGTTTTGTTTGGTAGTGTCCTATTTTATATGTGTCATTGGGTTATTGGTTCTCTGGTGGATACTATTAAGTGCTGTTCCGATCCCGCTTTAATCAGAAATCATTTCAAGAAGTAATTATTGTCCCAGCTGCTAAGACAGCTTACTGTCTGTTGTTTTAAAGATTGTTCTCAGCTGCAGAGAGCCATGTTACCCAAGGTCATTGGCCCCTCTGAGGTAGCTCACATCTGGTGATGGATGCATGGACACTAAGAAAGCCCAGGACACTTCCACAGTACCAGTATCACTCCAGAACGTCACAGGGGTGTGGCCAAGGCAATTGTAGCCTGCATTCTCACCCTGCCCACTAGGCTTCCGTCGCCTTCCTTCAGTTACTTGCTAACGATAACTCCTGAGTAAGTCTCCGGCACACTACGCCCCAGCTCCAAGTCTGCTTTGTGGGGAACTCGGCCTACAATAAGGTCTGTTTCTTTGGTGTGCTCACACTTAAACACCGTACAGTTTGCTTTTAGATCACATCTTCATAAAACATTTACATTTCCCCTTCCTGTCTCGTCTCTGATTGTATATTTGACATACTTTGTAAACCCCCAAATAAATTATTTCCAGATTTGTTGGATTCCTGTAGTGTTGGACTTTAGACTGTGACATTAAATGACACAGGATTATTTATTTATTTTTTGTTTTTTTAAAAATAATTTTATTAGGGGCTCGTACAATTCTTATCACAATCCATAAATACATCCATTGTGTCAAGCACATTTGTACCATTGTTGCTATCATCATTCTCAAAGCATTTGCTCTCCACTTAAGCCCCTGCATCAGCTCCTCATTTCTCCCCTCCCTCATGAACCCTTCATAATTTATAAATTATTATTTTGTCATCATATCTTATACTGCCTGACGTCTCCCTTCACCCACTTTTCTGTTGTCCATCCCCCAGGGAGGAGGTTATATGTAGATCCTTGTAATTGGTTCCCCCTTTCCACCCAACCCTCCCTCCAGCCTCTTGGTATCACCACTCTCACCACTGGTCCTGAAGGGATCATCTGCCCTGGATTCCCTGTGTTTCCAGTTCCTATGTGTACCAGTGTACATCCTCTGGTCTAGCCAGATTTGTAAAGTAGAATTGGGATCATGATAGTGGGGGGAGGAAGCATTCAAGAACTAGAGGAAAGTTGTATGTTTCATCATTGCTACTCTGCACCCTGACTGGCTCTTCTCCCCATGACCCTCTGTGAGGGGATGTCCAGTTACCTACAGATGGGTCTTGGGTCTCCACTCCACACTCCCCCTCATTTACAATGATATGATTTTTTGTTCTTTGGTGCCTGATACCTGGTCCCTTCAGCACCTCGTGGTCACACAGGCTGGCGTGCTTCTTCCATGTGTGTGTATCTTTCAAAGAAACTTAAAAATGAGAGAAAGTGTTTTTTTATAATTACATTGGTATCTTTCTCCTGCTCTTCATTTCTGGCCCTGCGTTCAAGTTTCCATCTAGTGCCATTTTCTTTTCTTTTTTGTATCCACAATGAGTTTATTAGAATGCCTCCCCACTCATCTCGATTCAGGGTCTTTTAGTGCTGCTTCCGTCTGAGGGAGCATCCTTCTGTGAGCCTGGCTTTTCCTCCTGGAGGCTGACAGAGGACTGTAGAGCAGCCAACACACAAAACGACGGTTTGTGCATGGCTGAAGACCGTGGAGATTTTATAGCAGCCTGGGCATTTGACGTCCATGAAGTAGGAATTGGGGCTCTGCACCAGGTGCTTCTTGTGTTTTCTCTTCTCCTCTTCGGGAGAGGGTTGAAGGAGGTCCTTTGCGAGAGGCATGATCGCCGGGGCGGTGGTCCGTGCCGGAAAGCCATCTGGTGCCATTTTCATTGAACCTGAAGAATTTCATCGAACATTTTATTTCACAGTTTCTGCTGCCAGGGAAGGCTTTGGGTTCTGGTTGAGAAGAGTATTTCTCCCTCGTTTTTTATCTGACTGTATTTTTTTTATCTGACTGTATCCTGGCAAATTAGTTCCCAACTTAACAATGTCTATACATCTTGGATGTTATTTTCTTCACAATGAATCAGCATGCTCATGATTTCCATTCTGTTTATTCCGTTTCCCTTCACCTAGCTTTCCCGCCCACCCTCTGACTTCATCATTGTTTTAGGGGAAATATTGACACGGGTTTTTCTCACGCAGTTGGCTATTTACAAGAGCACAATAGTCACTGGTGATAATGTTTATCCTATAAGCCAATCTATTCCTTGGCTGAAAGGTAACCTCTGGAAGCAGGTTAATGTCCAAGTTAAAAGGTGTGACAGGGCAACAACCTTGGGGGACCAGCTAGTCTCTGCTGGTTGTAACTCTGGATTATATTTTAGGGGTGCTAGCTTTGTTTCTGTCCTGCTCTGTGGAGGAGCATCTCATGTGTCCCTGGTCAAAAAGGTTGTTAGTCAGAGCCAGCCACCATGTAGTTCAGCTTTTAGGAGAGACGAGACTGGTTCTTGTGTGCTCTTCGTCGCATAGACTAGCCCCATAGATTAGCCCTGTGGGCTGCAAGCTTTTGAGAGCTCAGAGGCTACTCGCTAAACTAGGATATGGTTTGAGTTGTTGACGTTCTGTACCTATTTTGGAGATTTGACCCTTTTCAGATATTTCATTCCCAGATTCTCCCTTCATCTGTGGGTTCTTTTGCCTCTTTTGATAGTCTTTTGATGAGCACAGATACTTAAGTTTGACTCGGTTTTACTTATCTAATTTGTCTTCTGTTTGCACATTTGTAATTATGGCTGGTTTTTCCCTCCTGTTTTGAGAAGTTTGGCGAATTCTAGCTTGACAGCTTTCCTCCTCGCCCCCGTCCCACCCCCCCTCCCCAGCACTTTAAAGATGATGTTTGATTTTTTTTTTCGATTTTGTTTTAACTTGCATTATTTCTCTCTGCTGTCACGCTTATCTCCCCCCCCCCCAAAAAAAAAATCCCCGTATGACTCCTTAATGACTGATTTTAGCAATATGATGAGCAGTAAGTGAGCACAATTTTGTTGTGCTTATTCTCCTGAGGGACCATTTTGGATTTCTGGGGTTAGCGTTTTCATAAAATTTAGAAGCATGTTGGCCATCCTTATTTTCTTTCTTCTTAGAATACTGTTTGGTGCTTCAGGTAAAAGTTTACACAGCAAGTTAGTCTCTTGTTTAGCAAGCGTTATACAAACTGTCCCACGATCTTGGTGATAATTTGCACAGCGAGTCGCTTGCTCATTGCTCCCATTGCTTGTCCTCTTTCTTTTTTTGGGGGGAGGGGCGTTTAATAGTTTTATTAGGGGCTCATACAACTCTTATCACAATGCATACATACATCAATTGTGTGAAGCACATTTGTACATTCATTGCCCTCATCGTTCTCAAAACATTTCCTCTCCACTTAAGCCCCCAGCCTTAGGTCCTC